GACTCCTCCAGTGAAGATCCAGGCCCCAGTGGTGACAGCAGCTTTGATCAGTCCTTTACCGAAAACCTGTTTCAGCTTGGGGGGTAGGTCAAAGTTCTGAAGGCCTCCGTGGACAGAGATGAGGAGCGTGGGGAGCTCCAGCTGCCAGTCCTTCACCATGAGGTGGAGCAGAGAGTCCGGTTTGGAGTCGTAGGAGACCCGGATGTACTGGGGGAGGAAAAAGGAGGAGTCAGTGTTAAGATCTCAAACAGGAATCTCCCAGTCAACCCAGCAGCTCTGCCTCACTGGTACCATGGCCTTGTTGACGTGTCCTCCTCCCTGGAACTCCAGGATGCCATAGGCGTCGGTTGGGGAGGTCTGGGTGTGTTTCAGGGGACTCCACCTCTCTGCAGGCTGGACCTCCAGCTGGACCAGCGGGGCTCCTTCGTCTTTGGGAGGGACAGGGGTGTGCTGAGCCACCAGCTGACCACAGCTGCACCTGAACAACAACAGCAGGGTCATTTTAATGGAAAACCTTCAGTGAATGTCTGAGAACATTCTCTGAATGTTGCAGCTCAATGTATTTTTATTCACCTTAACCTCATGGGATCATTGGTGGAAGTGATAAAAGTAAATATAAACGCTCTTTGAACATTAGATAAAAGCCATGTTCATGCTATTCGTACGTGTAGGTAACGTTAGCCGATGTTGTGGGAATGTTGACAGCTGCTGGGTTAATGTGAAAACGTCTACCTGCTGGCGTCTTTGCTGGGTATAATCTGGATGCATTCTCTCTTCTGGAAGGTTCTCTCGATCCACGCTTTCTGAAGCTGAAACACCAGAATGAGAAACGTCACACCGCTGCTTCACGGTTGACCAGCAATTCAGCAGGTACAAATCAGTCACAATAAGAACTATAATTGTCCTATTTATGGCGTCCACTCTGATTTTAAAGGATAAATTCAAATTTCAGCAGCACAGGTTGAGTTTAGAAACGCTTATGAGTCTGTGTCAAAACAGAACAGAGCGATTTCTGTGTCTGTCTGTCAAACCAACACAAAAGAGACAGATTGACTTCTGTAAATACTAAACCACAGCTTTAGACGACATCCACTGCTCAAAGTACAAGCACAAGGCATAAAATGCAGTTTCACATCCAGACGAAGCAGCACAGTGCAGAATGATGAGAAATGTTTGGAGCAGCTTTAACAGTGTTCTCAGATATTTACAGACTTCACAGCATGAGGTGTAAGTTTGCTGTAAATCCTGTCGTTCATTCTGCACGTCTGGCTGCTGTTATACATAAATGTTGGATCCTGGTTCACGTTGTCCTCATTCAGAAGAACAGCAGGAGAAACAGCAGCGCTGAGCTGCAGCTGCAACGTCAGCTCTGGATGGATCTGACTAATTACTGGGAGAGTGGAGCTTTCCATTTCTGTATGACCAAATCCTCTTATGTTGCTGCACCGAAAACACGGAGCTGCACTTTAAATCTGCTGCTGCTGTAAATCCAGCAGCTCAGAGGACTGTGCTGTTGTTATTGTTGTGTTGTTGTTGTGTTGTTGTTGTGTTGTTGTCATCTGCACTTTGTGAAATTCCTGCACTCTGTATGATGGAGGATTAACTTCCTACATGAGCTTCAGGTTTATTGTGTTTTTTACATCAACACTGAACCACCACCACCATCATCATCATTACCATCATCATTATCATCATCATCACCATCACCACCACCACCATCATCATCATCATCACCACCATCATCATCATCAT